TGACATTATTCTGATGTTCTTCCCTCTCAACGTAAGGAATCTCTTCCCCCTAACTGCCCTTAAGATGGTTTCCTTGGTTCTAAGATTTGCAAGTTTTATTATTACATGCCGGGGTGTTGTCCTGTTTTCCTTGATTTTAGGAGGGGTCCTCTCTGCCTCTAGGATGCGAATGTTTGTTTCATTCCCCAGATTAGGGACGTTCTCAGCTATGATTTGCTCAAATATATCTTCTAGTCCTCTCTCTTTCTCCACTCCCTCTGGCATTCCAATTATTCTGACATTGGAACATTTCATGGTGTCACTTATTTCTCTGATTCTATTTTCATGGATTCTGAGTTGTTTTTCCCTGGCCTCCTCTTTTCCCTTTTTATCTATTATGTTGTCTTCCAGGTCGCTTATTCATTCTTCTGCCTCACTTACCCTAGCTTTAGATTATCTATATTAGATTGGATCTCATTGATAGCATTTTTAAGTTCTGCCAGTTCAGCTTTTATTTCTGCCCTTAGAGACTCTATGTTGCCATTAATTGATTTCTCCATTCTAGCCATTGTCTTCACAATTTTTAGCCTGAATTCCATCTCCGACATCTTGGTTATATCTGCATCCATTTGTAAATCTGCAGCATAAGTCATAATCTCTGAGTCTTTTCTATTTTGGGGGCTCCTCCTCCTAGTCATTCTGTTGATGGGTGTTTGAGGCAATGTATAGAGTCCAAATTATTGACTAGAACCCAAGCAAAATGCACCTGTTTTTTTGGGACCTTAGGGTTGCTGGCCTCTTGTTTTCCCAGCCTGTCTTCTGTGGGAGGGGCCTGCTGCGGTGTTACTCAGGCAACCCTGTTTGGGTGGAGTTGCCCTGCCCCCCTGTGGCGTGGGAAGGGCTCAGCGGGAATCAGTTTTTGGGGCTTTTGTTCTCTGGAGGCTTTCCCTGGCGGCTTTCTGCGTCTCTTCCGTGAGTCAGAGCAGAAGAGACCGTTTCCAACCCTCTGCCTCAGAGCAGAGACATCGCAGTCTGTTCTTCATTGAGCTCTCCAGGCCACACCGTCTTCGTTTCTGTCGGTGCTGCTATAAACTGCAGCGTCCTGGGTTGTGCGCCCCTCCGCAGCGCTCCCAGTCCTGCCTCCAGGTTAGGGCACGTCTCTGCCCTGTGTGCTTCTAAAACCTCCAGCCGCTCCCAGTTCGCACACGTGACCCCACCACTCTGGGTTTCCGCCCAGGGTGCTGCCCTAAAGTCCTTTCCCTGCTGCAACCGGTCTGCGAGTCTGTGCCCCGTCCCCAGAGCGCAAGGCTGTTGCTTACCGGTGGTGTAGGAAACCCACGGCCAGGCACCCTCCCTCTGCCGTTTATCCTCTGATATCTGCCTGTGGAATCACGGCTCCCCGCTTCGTACCTCAAAACCAACCGCCTCTGATATTCTGTTTGTAGAGATCCAGATCTTCTTACATCTCAGGCTGGTTTCGTGGGTGCTCAGAGTGGTTTGGTAGATACCCAGCTCAGTTCTGGGGACCAGTTGAAATAAGGTCCCCTACTCCTCTGCCATCTTCCCCTCCCAATTTTGGATATTATATTAAAGGTTTTAATTTTCATCTCATTTTAAAAAGAGCTTTTATAGATTTTTATTTCATTAGAGAAAAATACAGAGAAGCAAAAAACAAAAAACAAACCAAGAATCTGTCCCACCGCAGAACCAGAATGGATGTTGTAGGTGTGACTGAGTATACTTTGGGGTTCATCATACAAAGAATAAATAAACGTGAAGAGTTTTCTAAGAAATGGGAAGCCCCAGTACAGATATATAGTACAGAATTAGAGAATTCTGGTTTGCCACACATCTCCTACTTAAGGAAGTTAATCAGAAGTCCAATTTCTACAAGGTTTACCTGATCCTAATTAGGAGACCTCTGGGTTCTCTAAAACAGAATGATAATCTTCACAGGACTATGGAATGAAGAATAATAGTTCACCTAGTTATCAGCAGGAATATTCTCCTTGCTTTACTTATCAAAATTAAGTGAATAGAGTAGCCATTTGTGTGTGGGTGTGTATGTTGGCATGGGTTATGGGTTATGGGTTTGGGGCTTTGGTGGTGGTGGTGACAGTGTCTATATAATTGTCTGTATGGGTATATATGTAGTCTATACATATAATTGTCTATAAATAATTAAATATGTTTATAGAAAACTTAGCAGTTTTTTCATTGTCTTTACTTGAGTTCTACCAAGGTTTTCTCTCCAGCCATTTTTTTTTAAACCAGGAGTCAAATTTTGTTCATATTCCCTGCTCAATGCCCATATCAAGTTGTTCACAATCACATGATCAGTGGCATTTGATCAGTGGAGAAAGCTCTGAGTAGGCCAAAGAGATTTTTTTAACTCCTTGTACAATGGAAAGTTACCTTTGGGATCTGAGAGGCCAACTTTTATTTCAGCCTAGTATTTCCAATATCCCAGTTGTTTTGAACTCCGAGGTAGCAATATTGAGATGATTTGAAGGGTCCAGGGTGGTTTGCTGATGGAGATCAGTGACTTAATTTTTTTTCCCTTTTCTTTACTCTTATTTTTTATTATTACAGAAGAAGCTACTATGGTGGAAACTGGGCCAGTTTTAGCTTTTCAGGAATACTGTCCTGGCTAAAGGAATACCAGGTAAACTTCTTAGTTGATTTTTAATCTACTAGATTGTATTTTGTATCACATAATAACCCTACGTTAAGGAAAACCCTAAGCTTCTGTAATATAGAATTGATTCCTCATTTTTATTTATTTAACAAAAATTATGCAGTCATTTTTTAAGTTAATGTTCTTATGCTTTCAAAATATAGATATCACTTTTTAAATATACATAGACATGTTGGCTGAAGAGTACATCATATATACTTGATACCATTTTCTCATTACATTCCCAAATACAAGGCAAGATTTTTTTCTCCAAAATAGTCTTTCAGAAAAAAAATTCAGTCCTCATAAAATCTCACATATTACTAGTTGCTCTTTCAGTAGTATATTTTGAGGAAAAAAAAAACCCAGCTATTCGGGGAGGGGGGTAGTACATTAATTTGAAATGGTCTGCGTCATTGGTAGTTTAAAAGTCATCTGACAGAATTAGTAAAAACAAAAAACAAGGAAAAATTTAATATAAATTTAGTAAGTTTTTTTCTAAGTTAGAATCTCACTACTACAAATATTGGATATCATTGTAAAGAAGTTTTTTAGAGGACATGTATGGCATAGTAATATGGAGAGTTGGTTATGTCCTGGATTTTACTCATTTTTATGACAGATGAAAAAAAAACTGTCCTAATTTTATGTGAATGGTATATGTGGCTTGAAATGAACTTCCTACTGAGAGCATCATACATGGAATCAGAAACTGCTATATCTCAAAAGCGTTTAGACAGTTGGGAAAGGAGTATGATATATTCTATAAAATTGTATTCAGTTAGCTAAAAATAATATAGCTAAGACTTATTAAGCACTTACTGTGTGCCAAACACCACAATAAGCATTGTAGTTGTACTGATTAATTTATGCGCTTAAAAACGTGCTTCTAGGGGTGACAAAGCCATTGATGTTGAAGATGCAGTGAAGATTCAGTTTGAATAATACTGTTGCATGAAATGAGAGTGTGGAGAAACAAGTAATATTTGGAAAATAATATTGCAAGAAAGTAAATGTTACTAGTAGACATTTAACTATTTTATGTATGTGCCTTAAATATTTGTATATTTGTGTTGATCATTATTCTTAGGAAGTATGTATAAGGGTTATCTTATTTAGTATATTTAGCATATTTAGTACTTCCTTGAGAAAATTTAGTCTAGATGCTCACAAAAAGACAACAAAAATACCTCATTTGTCTGAATGGAAAATTCTGGTGAGTGAGGATAATTTTATAAAGTAAATTTTGATACTAGGTTAGATTTATTAAAATAAAAATATTTTTGTAGATGTTTCTTTTATTTTAGTGCTGCTTCTACTCCAGCATTCTCTTTCTACCGTATCCTTTCGCCCTTCACTCTTTGTGTGCTGATCCACAGTCTTGTCTTCAGGTTGGAAACCCCATGTCTACACATTCAGAGTTCCTGTATTTCACCTCCTTTTCTACCTATGTTGGGATGTTTAACACTATCTAATAATTACACTTAATAATAACAATGTCTGCCCTACTTTTCTTCAGTTTAAAATGTTAAATTCAGGAGAAAAAGGCCTTTTTATTTATTTGTTTATTTTTAAAGATTCTACCCATTTTTGACAGAGAGAGAGAGACAGGTACAAGCAGGGGAAGCAGCAGGCAGAGGGAGCGGGAGAAGCAGGCTTCCCGCTGAGCTGGGAGCCTGATGTGGGGCTCCATCCCAGAACCCTGGGATCATGACCTGAGCCGAAGGCAGACGCTTAACCATCTGAGCCACCCAGGCACCCCGAAAAAGGCCTTTTTAAAGATTTATTTAAAAGAGAGAGAGTGCATGAGCTGAGGGAGGGGCAGAGGGAGAGAGAGGGGGGAAGCAGACTCCTTGCTGAGCACAGAGCCTGACCTGGAGCTTCATCCCAGGACCCTGAGATAATGACCTGAGCCAAAACCAAGAGTTCAATGCTTAACTGACTGGGCCACCCAGGGGCCCTGAGAAAAAAAGCCTTTGAAAATAATTATTGTCCTATTTTATGAAATCTGCAAGTTTAGAAATTTCTTGAGGTGAATGTACTTAAAATGAAGAATATTGTAGTTATATTTCCCTACTAGTTCTTTGAGAATATATATTCAAAAATTTTTTTCTCTGAGAAATATGTACCAAATAGTTTAAAATTTTAAACGAATTAAAAATTGATCCTTGACATTTGGAAAAAGCATATCTTGACATTTCCAAAAATCCCCTGTATTCAGATATTGCTACGCATATAACTTATTTCCATAAAATATAATTAGGAATTATTAAAAATTTTGAAGGGCCACTTTCAACCCTTATAAGTTTACATACATTATCATATATTATTGTTTTTATTGTCTTTCTGAATATAAAATATTTAGAGGTTGATTATTATACAGTCCTTAGTTATAGTAGGCTGAATACTTTTCAAAAATACTTTTACATAAAATCAGAATTTGGCATGGCTAGTGACTAACCTTCAATGACCTAAAGGTAAGTAGAATGAAGTAATCGTGGGCCTGCTTTTGGACAACAAAATGCAAAAACTTTGTTAATAACAAGTAATATGTATACCAGACACACTTGATTTTCAGCAGATAGAGGGTTAGTTATCCTAGTTCTTAAGTAATTTCAAAACAGGCACATCCAATGACTGCATCAGAATGTCAGATATCCTGATAGAAAACTGTAAACCAGAGGTAACATTTGAGAGGATAGGTTTTTACACAATTTTCTTCTCTTTGAAGATGGCACACTATGCTAGAGTCACTTCAGAATTTTGATGGGATCAGAGGCAAAGTATTAATTGAGAAAGGTATACATTTTCACAAAAAAGTAGAGGTTCAGATTGCACAATTTAATTAACGTTTCTCATCTGTATTTTGTTTAGGAAAATAGTGATGTTGTGAATGAAAGCCCAGCCTGGCAAGAGCAGATTCTTGAAAATGAAGAAGCCATTGCTCTTAGCAGGAAGGACAAAACCATTCAACATGTGGAAGTGTTTTGTTATGCCAGGTATGAAAAGTATTTATTTAGGATAAACTGAGTTGATGACTTCTTATTCACATCTATTCAAAAGAAGCCAACATATAACATTGGTTGCTAAACGTCAATTGATAAGATGGTTTGCCTTTTTTAAAATATAACTTTCAGTTTTTTCTGCTTAGATGATAATGGTGATAATAACATGCCACATTAATGACTTGATTCTTACAACCATCCTGTGCTAGGATAGAGGAGGTAGTACTAGTTGCAGTTTTTATAGAATCCTCATTATATAGAGATTAGTTTGTTGAAGGGAAAAATGGCTTGAAAAATGTCCAAACCACACGTAGCCTAGATAGTGGTGGAGCCCAAGATCAAACCTCAGGATTATTTAATTCTGCTCCAGTGTTCTTTTAACTCTTCTTAGATAATATTCAGTGTAGGAAAATGGAAAATTATAAGTTTGAAATAAAAACAATTGGTCATAATATTTGGGGACATATTTTCGAAATCAGGAGAGAATATTGGGAAGTAATATTTTAAGTGTCTCTAAGTGAGAAAATTCATTTTTTTTAAGTTTTTGTTTTCCAGTTAACATACACTATTATATTAGTTTTGGGTATACATTATAGTAATTAAACAATTCCATACATAGGTCACCAGGTGCTCATCACAAGTGCACTCCTTAATCCCTATGACCTATTCTACCCATTCCCCCACCCACCTCTCCTGTGGTAACAGTTTGTTTCTTGGTTTGCTTCTCTATTTTTTCCCTTTGCTCATTTGTTTCTTAAATTCCACATGAATGAAATCATATGGTATTTGTCTTTTTCTCACTGACTTAATTTGCTAAGCATTTTACTCTTTAGCTCCATCCATGTCATTGAAAATGGCAAGATTTCATTCTTTTTTATGGCTGAATATTATTCCTTGTGTATATATACCACATCTTCTTTAGCCATTCATCAATTGATGGACACATGGGCTGCTTCCATATATTGACTGTTGTAAATAATGCTACTATAAGCATAGGGGTGCATGGTCTTTTAATTACTGTTTTTGTATTCTTTGGGTAAACGCCCTGTAGTGGGATTGCTGGATCCTAGGGGAGTTCTATTTTTAATTTTTAGAGGAACTGCCATACTGTTTTCCACAGTGGCTACACCAGTTTGCATTCTCATCAACACTGCAACAGGGTTCCTTTTTCTCCACATCCTCACTAACACCTGTTGTTTCTTGTGTTGTTGATTTTAGCCATTTTGACAAATGTGAGGTGATAATCTCATTGTAGTTTTGATTTTCATTTCCCTGATGATAAGTGATAATGAGCATCTTCTCATGTGTCTGTTGGCCATGTGGCTATCTTCTTTGGAGAAATGTCTATTCATGTCTTCTACCCATTTTTTAATTGGATTATTTTTTGGGGGGGTGTTGAGTTTTACAACTTCTTTATATACTTGGGTTACTAACCCTTTATCATATATATCATTTGCAAATATCTTCTCCCATTCTGGTTGCCTTTTTAAGTTTTGTTGATTGCTTCCTTCACTGTGCAGAAGCTTTTTATTTTGATGTAGCCTCAATAGTTTATTTTTCCTTTTGTTGCCTTGCCTCAGGGGACCTATCTAGAAAAAAGTTGCTATGGCAGATGTCAGAGAAGTTAATGCCTGTGGTCTCTTCTAGGATTTTTATAGTTTAGGTCTCACATTTAGGTTTTTAGTCCATTTTGAGTTTATTTTTATGTATGGTATAATAAAGTGGTCCAGTTTCATTCTTTTGAATATTGCTGTCCAGTTTTCCCAACACCATTTGTTGAAGAGACTTTTTTCCATTGGCTGTTCTTTCCTGCTTTGTCGAGGATTAATTGACCATATAGTTGTGGGTCCATTTCTCGGTTTTCTATTCTGTTCTATTGAATTATGTGTCTATTTTTGTGCCAGTATTATACTGTCTTGATCACTACAACTTTGTAATATAACTTGAGGTCTGGAATCGTGATGCCTGCAGTGTTGCTTTTCTTTTTCAAGATTGTTTTTTGCTATTTGGGGTCTTTTGTGTTCCATACAAATTTTAGGATTGTTCGTTCTCATTCTGTGAAAAATACTGTTATTATTTTGATAAGGATTGCATGAACTGTGTAGATTGCTTTGGGTAATATAGACATTTTAACAACATTTGTTCTTCCAGTCCGTGAGCATGGAATGTTTTTCCATTTCTTTGTGTCATCTTCATTTCCTTTCATCAGTGTTTTATAGTTTTCAGAGTTCGGATCTTTTGCCTCTTCAGTTAGGTTTATTCCTAGTTATCTTACTGTTTTTGGAGCATTTGTAAATGGGATTGATTCCTTGATAGCTCTTTCTGCCGTGTCATTGTTGTACAGAAATGCAACAGATTTCTGTACGTTGTTTTTGTATACTGCGACTTTACTGAATTTGTATATCAGTTCTAGCAATTTTCTAGTGCAGTCTTTCGTGTTTTCTGTATAGAGAATCATGCCATCTGCAAATAGTGAAAGTTTGACTTCCTCTTTGCTGATTTGGATGCCTTTTATTTCTTTGTGTTGTCTGATTGCTGATGCTGGGACTTCTAGTACTGTGTTGAACAGCAGTGGTGAGAGTGGACATCCCTGTCTTGTTCCTGACTATAGAGGAAAAGCTTTCACTTTTTCTCCATTGAGGCTGATATTAGGTGTGGGTTTTTCATATATGGCCTTTATTTTGTTGAGGTATGTTCTATCTCTACTTTGTTGAGAGTTTTTATCATGAATGAATGTTGTACTTTGTCAAGTGCTTTTTCTGCATCTATTTATTCTTTCTGATATTGATATGATGTATCACATTGATTTGCAGATATTGAACCATATGGTTTTTATTTTCTTTTATTGATGTAAGAGAGTATCACCGTGTAATAGATCCTTGACATTCTTGTTGGCTACATCAAAAAATCTTTTTGATTTCCCTTTTGTAAATAATGAAAAAATGGTACAGGTTCTTGGCTTGTTGTTGTTGTTGCTTTTTTATATATGCATTATCAATGATGTTAATGTTACATTTTGTGGAGGTAGGGCATGAATATGTGTTTAGTTTTGTATAATTTTAACATATATGTCAGGTCATGTATCCATCACCACAGTCAACTAACAGAAGTGAGCAGTTACATCACCCCAAGGATCTTTCCTGTTTCCATTTTATAACCATAGCTCATCTCCTTCCTACCATTTCCCCCAATTTCTAACTCTTGGTAACCACTAATCTCTCTTCCAGCTCCATTATTTTGTCATTTTGAGAATGTTATGTAAATAGAACTGTATAGTATGTAACCTTTTGCCATTGGCTCTTTTCACTCATTGTAGTTAACCTGCAGATTCATCCAGGTGGTTGCATGCATTAGTAGTTGGTTCCTTGTTATTGCTGAATAGTATTCCATGCTATGGACATACCAAGCTTCACTTATTCACCTGTTGAAGAACATCTGGGCTTTTTTCACTTGTGTCTGTTACAAATAAAGCTGCTATGAATATTTGTTTATAGAATTCTCTGTGAACATAAGTTTTCATTTGTCTGGGATAAATGCCCAAGTGTATAATTGATGGGCCATATGGTAATTACATGTTTAGTTTTAAACTGAAAAACTGTTTTCCAGGGGGGCTGTACCATTTTACATTTCCATCAGAATTTCATGATTCAGTTTCCCCACATGCTCCTCAACATTTGATGTTTTCACTTTTTTAGCCATTCTGATAGTTGTGTAGTGATATCTCATTGGATTTATAATTTGCATTTCTCTTATGGCTGATTTTGAACATCTTTTCATGTGTTTGTTTGCCATTCTTACATCCTTTTTGTTGAAAATCTGTTCGTATCTTTTGCTCATTTTTTCATTGGATTGGCTTTTTCCTGTGGATTTTTGAGAGTTCTTTATATGTTTTATATATGTGTCCTTTGTTAAGTATGTAGTTTGCAAATATTTCCCCCAAGTCTGTGGCTTGTCTGGCATCCTCTTTAAGCAGGATATTTTGCAGGTGAAATGTTTTAAATTTTGATGAGGTCCAATTTATCACTTTTTTCTTGGGTATAGATCCAGAATATTTTCTCCTATTTTTCAAAAAAAATTACAGTATGTTTTATGTTTAATCCCATGATCTACTGTAATTTTTGTATAAGGTGTGAGGTTTAGGTCAGTGTTAATTTTTTTAACATAAGGTTATCCGATTGCTTTGGCACAGTTTGTTATAAAGACTGTTTTTTCTCCACTGAATTAATTTGCATATTTGTCAAAAATCAGTTGGCTGTACTTTGATGGGTCTATTTGTGGATTTTATATTCTGTTCCATTGATGTGTATGTCTTTTCCCACACCAATACCACACTGTCTTTATTACTGCAGCTATATATTAGGATTTAAAATCAGGTAGAATAATTCCTCCAAATTGATTCTTTTTTGTCAAAATTGTTTTATTTATTCCAGAGTTTGTGCCTTTTCATATAAATATTCTAATAAGCTTTTCTATGTCGAGAAAATGTTGCTAGAATTTAGGAATTGCATTAATGCTATAAATCAAGTTGGGGGGAATTGATACCTTTATTATTTTGAGTCTTCCAGTTCACTCACAATGTATGACTCTCCATTTATGTAGGTTGACTTCAATTTCTTTCTACAGAATTGTGAATTTTCAGCATCCCAATCCTGTGCATGTTTTGTTAATTGTATACCTAAGTTGTTACTTCTCTTTGGGGCAATTATAAGTGGCATTGTCTTTTTAATGTTGGCTTTCATATGTTCATTATGGGTATCTAGAAATGCAGTTGTTTTTTATGCATTGAGATGTATCCTGGCATCTTGCTGAACTCACTTATTCTGGGGATTTTTTTTATAGGTTCCTTGGGATTTTTACATAGACAGTAATGTCTTATACAAAGAGGAACAGTTTTATGTGTTCCTCTTCGTTTGCTTTTTTTAAAGCGTCTGTTTCCTATTGAGAGTCGTGTGTTTTCTGTCCATAGCCACACACCATGAGTTAATTGTTTTCTA